GGCAAAAGGGGGTCCAACCCGTTACTAGCGTGGTGTACCTAATAAAGTGGCCGGTGAGTGTATATTAAAGTTTCTCTTTAATTGTTTTAAGTAATCTGTTATTTTTAATCAATTAGCATTTATACTTCTACTGTTAATATGAATCATAGAAAGGTCATTTTTGTTCTTTTTATATTACCAAATTGCTCTTCGTTATACAAATCATTTCTTCGTGTATGTTGCTCTAGTTCATTCACTTTTTTTCCCTAGTTCGGCTATCTTTGTGTCGCTTTCACTTAGTGCAACTTTGAGCAGCTTCACTTCTTCGGTCAGGTTGAACATAAGTTCCTGCTGCGAAGCCAACTTCRAAAGTAATGCAACTCATAAAGTTTAGCAATTTTTTATGTCCTCCATATTGTCTGAGTTGTTTTCTAATGAGTCTAACCCTTTTCCCTGTCCGGTGCGTCTCAGCATGGCTCACTTGAACGGGCCAGGTGGTAGCTGCCCCGGCCAGTTCTCGAGGTAGCACACCGGCTAGCTGTTCTCCTCCACAGTCAGGCTGCCTCCCTCCTCCACCTCAGCTGTACTCCTCTTTCCGCCTCCCACACCAATGTCGGCTTCTTCTCTCTCCACCGCGGCCTCCACCACCACGTTGCGAGGTTCTGCTCGCACCAGTGTCGGCTTCTCCTCTCTCCACCATGAGTCTCCACCTGTGATATACATTTACGGAGGGCAGCGAGTCCAAGTTGTAGTGAACACTCTCAGCAGGATCTTGTTGCACCTCCAGTGCTGTGGTAAGCTGTCCGCTCCGCCACTCCACCACAGCAGTCTCAATTCTCTCTCCTGTCCTCCTTACTTTGCCATTTTCCATGTCCCAGCAGGTGTGCACAGACAAAAATAAATAAATAAATAAAACTACATGTTCCCCTGTACCTCCGGTACCTGTGCATGTTTTTGAGTCCATATTTTCCATGGTAGGCCTACCTATCTTCGACGATACCTAGTCTGTATACAGTATGTACCTATGTTGTCCAGTGGTTAACAATGATAGTCATGAAAGATTCTTTGCTCCTTCTTCAATTTTTTATACAAATGTAAAAATACTGAGTTACAGTGCAGTCACTGTATTGGAAACATACGGAACAGATGACTCCATAGCAAAAGAGAGCGCACAGGTTTGCTGAGATCAGCCACTAAACTTAGCACTAATTCAAATCTAGTTTGTGCAGCGCATCAAAACAATTAGTGGAAAACAGTAAGGAGAGAGCTGATGGAACTCAGGAAGGGAGGGGAGATAAATGATTTGAGAGGGAAGGAGTGAATAAATGAGAGGACAGAGGTCTGATCACACTCAGGGGAGAGACACGAGCGAGGTCCCAACATGTTAGAAGATGATAAATGGAGACAGAGAGGGAGGAAAGGAGAGAAAATGTCAGGGAAGGATTTGGTGGAAGCACACGAGTGGGGGCTTTAAAGTGACAAAAAGCATGACTGCGCCCGATCTGACATGTTAGGAAGAATGAGGGTTGGACACTGCGAGGCAAAAATGACTGGACTGATTGCTCTGCCTCTCTCTCTCTCCGTGTGCCTAATATTCATCATCCTATTTTCATCTCTTGGCAATTTCTTGTTCCTCCACTGAAGCAGCWCCCTGGCAAAATGACTCCACTTGTTCTTGAGGCGACAAAGCTTTTGTCAAGCCAGATTTAAAAGGAGGAGGACAAGTTGGTGGGGGGTGGAGGGGTTGGCTGAATAAAGCAGTAAGAGAAAAAAAGCTGAAGTAAACAAGTGCAGATGGTGTAGGTGTTCTTGCAGGGCRATCCCCTTCACCTGTCAGGCAATCAAGGCACGTGATGAAAACCTCCTCACATCTCTCCTTCTGCTTCACTCCCACAGTCTGGAGCAGGACCCTCAGAGAAAAACTACCCTGCCTCAACATCAGCGGGGCCATCTGTCTTTCCTTCYCCACACCCTCTCCCTTGTGGTTTCTCTTGCAACAACATTTGTATTACCTTTGTTTKGTCTGTAGGTCAGAGGAGAGGAGCAAATGAATACAAAACAAGTTTTGTTCTGTTCAGGAAGTAAATAACAKAAGATAAAAAGCAGTCTGCTGGGTAGGGATGGGCAGTGATTTTTATATAAGGAATCAAGTCAAGGGTAAGCTCAGCTTAATGATCGGAATATGGGAATGCCCAGGCATGTTACACCTTTATGRCTGGTGAAAATAAAGGAATATAGCTAGAAGGATTAGCCACACATCTCTGTATATTTTTCAGCTGCAGGACTCAAAGTGTAATTAATCAAAAATCCCAATCATATTGACAGTTTTTGAAGAAAAAAATCTAAAAGCCATCAATCATAAATCACAAGACACCAATCATAAATCATGATTTTCAGTTTGTTGTGCTGACACTTGTGATATATTAATTACTGTAGCTCTGACTGAGGAAAGAGTGAAACAAATGTTTTGTAAGAAGTATAAATTGCTGTATATTTGGAGTGGTACCTCAGATGGATGGGGAGACAAGACTGAGGAAACAGGAAATGATGGGGGTCGCATATTCACAGTGAAATATTTACTGACAATTACTCACTGATTCCCTACAGCTTAGAAGTGAACTGTAACTCTCACATACCGTCAGATAACTTGAACATCTAAATAAAACACAACAAAAAAAAAAAGTCTATTTCAACAAGTAAACCYAAAATTAACATTTTGAGTTTTTAATTAGTCATAAAATCTTTAAATATAGCAAAAACTAAAATAAAAATCAGACAGGCAATGTCTTCAGGAAAAAATAATTTATTTTTCAGAATTGTGCGTATGCACGCTGGGTATTCAGCAAAGCAAAATTGCGGCGCTGGTGGGCAAACAGCTGCTCATTCACTGGGTTATTTACACAAATGGCACCATAAAAACACGCTAATTATTATTATTTTTTTTTTTACATGGTCTTACACAAAAATCTTCCACTGTCAGATCAACATGATGTGAGGGACAGAGCTGGAGAATGCACAACAGGGCAGCATGGTTCAACTGTGACCACTTCACATTAAGGGCTTTTAAAATACAGCTTATTAGGAACCTGAAGTTGACAGTCAAAACCTGACATTTTGTACAAATGTTGCATATTTTCTAGATGGCTCTCTCTGCTGCTGATAAGGACATCTACACACTTGATTTTCATTATGAMTCCACAATCTGTCTATTAAACCCTTACATATTTGAATAGGTGCTCATCCATCCATCCATCCTTTTTACCTTCTTCCTTTCTASGTTGWGGGGGTCACTGGTGCCCATGTCCATCAATCACTGTGCGAGGGACATCCTGGACAGGTCGCAAGTCCATCACTGGACTAACTAGAGACAAACAAGACAAGCAACCATTCCCACTCTGACTCACTAGGGATGATTTAGTTGCCAGATATACTAAAATACATGTTTTTGGTCTGTGGGAGGAAACCGGGGTACCTGGAGAAAACCCATGCATGCACAGAGARCACATGCAAACTCCACACAGAAAGGTCCCTGGCYGAGATTCGATCCAACCTTGTTGCTAGAAGGCGACAGCTCAAAYGAGCCGATTGCTGAGGTAATATTTAGCTGCTATAGAATAGACTGGAGTAACTGATCTGGAATGGTTGTAGGAGGTCCACATAATACCTAGTCTAGTCAATATGGCTGAGAAAGCTTTTAAAGCTTTGGTGTTCCTTTAAGATAAAGTCAGAAACAGCACAAATAAGCCGAGTCAGGTCTTGAGRTGTCATTTCGTCTGCATGTCCGTGGTCCCATCCAGGAGAAGCCGACGAAGCTCCTGGGGGTTCGTGACGGGCAAAGAGCATGTGAAGTTCTGGCAGACGTAAGCGGTGGCRATACCATCCAGCTGGGTCAGGGAGGCAAGGCTGGGCAGGCGGGACAGGACACTATCTGGATTTTCTTCTTTGAGCATTAAAACCTGCCGAGGGAACAAAACAAAAAGTTMAATGTGGTTTACACAATCCTAAAATCTGGTTTTGAAAGTTAAAAACATCCTAGTTATATTTTTCTATTTATCTTTATTGCAAAAGTAAGAGAATATCATACTTTTAAACAAAAGTAAGAGAATATCATACTTTTAAACAAAAGTAAGAGAATATCATACTTTTAAACAAAAGTAAGAGAATATCATACTTTTAAACAAACAATAGCTTCTCAGATGAATGTTTTTTTATATTGCTGGAAAACATTCTGGCTCTACGCTGTTTTCTCTGAGTCATTGGGCCTCATGCAAGAACATGTTCGTATTCTTATCCTAAATTTCTCTTACTTTTGTTTAAAAGTATGATATTCTCTTACTTTTGTTTAAAAGTATGATATTCTCTTAC